CGAGAAATGTTCACTGTTCAATCTACCAATAACATCACTGATTCATTTCAGTTGGTTTGGTGCAATGTCTCAATGTGATATTAAAAGGAAGTATTAACGACTCTACGTTAATATATGTCGAATAAACATATCCAATGAAAATAATATCATCTGGTTGAAGATTGGTAGCAATGATTGCGATATGAAGGTCAAAACGGCCGCGGGCTGTCTCGGTTTTATGTGTGACTTTACTTATGTGATATGCGGAAGTTATAACGGTAAACAGAATGATAATGATAACGGTGATCGTGATGATGAGCAGACTAAGATCATCGCCATGTGAGAAGCCTAGCGGCGATACCACTCAATAGACGGTGAGGATGATATTGAAACGAAAAGGAAGGGGACGGATAATGCATGAAAAGAGGGTGGTAATATAGATAGACAAATAATGTGAAGAGGAGAGGATTGCTGTAAGTAAAGATAGAATTTGATGTTGAGGGGCAGGAGAGAGACAGATGACGATGGATAAGGGATGAGTTGCTGCTGTAAAATATTTATGAAACACAACGTCTTTTCTTCTATACCAGTTTGTTGTTATTATGCTGTGTTCACCTTGATGAATTCTTACATGGATTGTTCACCAGTGTGGCCATGATGATCATCATCAAATTAAATCAAATCACATCATATACACAATACAATATAATATATCCATGTAAATCAACATGCATAACATGCAGTTCAGTTCACATTCTGTACATTTCACTTGCATTATGCCTTCACAACTCCGCTCACTGAACTGCTCGTCGCCATTCCATCCCACTCCACTCCATTCCCCGCCCGCCCTCACCTCTCGTCGTATTCAGGTGTGGTGGTATTTCGTTTTCATAAATGGTAGCCATGCGGTTGGTGCTCGCCGTCGTTTTGCTGCTGCCCACCTTCGCAAATGTATATGCTCAAGAGCAACCGGTATGCTCAGTTAATCAACTCTTCAATGGAAAACTGTGCACCTGTGCTCCAGGGTATTATTACTGTTGTTATTAGTCTTTAAGTTTTTTTGGATTAATTGGACAATGCACACACACACTCAAAGACATACACACACACGCTTATAGACAGACGTCTGCAAGAAACATGTCCGTGCATACATCTGTCGCTCGTTGCATAACTGAACGTGTTTGTTTAGTCGCTGAGTTTGCTTGTTTTCTTTTTTTTTCTCGTTAAGTGCATCCTTTCAATTGTTGATTGTTTTTTGAACAACCTTTTCAATTTGCACCATGCTGGTTTCGGCTTGTTTGTTTGTAGTTGAATGTCTCATTTTATGAGACATTCAAACACACGCATTTACTTGCGTTTATTGTTTTATTACTGATGGAAGTGTTTTTATTATTGCGTGCGTGTTTATGCTACTCTCGTTGATTGCGATAAGTCAGCGAAAGATTTTAATTATCATACACTGCAGTGCTTCTTATTGTCATTGTAATTATCATTTGCAAAAAAAAAACAGTATACAAATGCAATTAATCATTGGTACTATAAACAGTTTGAATTGTATTTCAGTTTATGTATTTGCTGCTCATAATTGCTCATTCATTCCGCAGTAATCATTTTAAGCAATCACGTACAGCGCACTATATCATACCCATCAACTTTTTCATCAGCCTATCAAACTGGATGGTTTTCATTTCAGTTCAAAGCGTTTCGAAATTGAAATCTGTTGTTACAAAATTTTATCATTTTTCAGTTAAGAAAATCTTCGTCTTAGTGATGTTAAGATATTGAGATACAACGATGTTAAAAGGCTTATGATATTAAGAGGCTCAATCTTAAGATATAAAGATATTAAGAGACTGACTCTATGTTAGAATTTTCACACTCTCTCAGATCAGCAATACGTAACACTATCGAGCAGTACCACTCGAATGTGCTGAGTCTTTATCCCATTTAAAAAAGTTTTGATTTTTAGCATTCCGAAACCAACTTCTTGTTATGACAATGAAAACCACTGTATGGAAAGCTGTGCAATTGATTGATACATAAGTTACCTTCGAATAATCATCAAATGTGTAATCAATACACAAAGAGAAAAAGAATGAAGCGATAAACATTCTTCAAGCGTCATCGATCTCCATCATCCTCATCATAATGTTGATGATAATCTCTTAGATGGATATTTCGATTCCGTCTATCATGAAGTAACAGTAACCTGCGCAGTGGCAGTTTACCAGCAATCGTTTCCATCCAATTTTGTGAAATGGCACTCACTGGCAAAACTAACTTTATGATGAATTACTTGGTGTCGTTGAATTGTGAGAAGAAGATGAAGGTGGACGTAGAATGGCGTCGTATCGTTTCGTTTAAAAATTTACTCGAATTATATCCTGTACATGAATGAATTGTTATTCAAGAGTCTAGAAAGATGACAAGTAATTTTTGGCGAATTCACATAAAGCATTACACAGTGAAGTGGTTTTCAACATGTTGAGGAGCAGTGTCATTTGCTTTGTATCATACTCTTGCAATGCAGTATTCTAATTCTGTTTAGATTGCTTTGTTGTGTTTCTTTCTATGGCCATGAATAATTTTCATCTACTAGTGATTGCTTATCACATATGCAGTAGCTCTCAAACTTTTCCGCACCGCACCCTCTAGAAAATTTTGAGGTATCCTCGCACCCCCACAACATCCACTCTGTACCCCTCATCCATTGCAGTGATAAATTTATACCATTGGAATGCGTTCTAGCCTTTTCAAAAATATATATCTTAATGCCTGCTTTCAGCACATGTATGCGTTGAACTCCGTTCTTGCTTCTTTCTATGTGAAAAAGCGTAAAACCTTACCGCGCCCCCATGGAAGTACCATTTCGCACTCCTTGAGGATGCGAGCAGTCCCGGTTAGGAAAGCCTGACGCAATGAATATAATCATAAGCGAGTAGTTAAGATGCTCAAAGAGTTGATAACGATAATGAGAGATGGCGTTGCTAATCAGTTATGTTATTCTGAAAAACAAAAAACAGATCATTAGAAATGATGTCTCACTATGAGTAAAATACCGTTTTTGTCACTCAGTCAAAAAATATACACCCTACATTTGTATTCTTCCATTCAGAGCGTTAATTCACTCCAATACCAAACAGTTCAGTAACCTTTATGAGTATTCGTCGTTATTCTTCATGTTGTTGGTTTTATCATGCATTTTTAGCTGTAATGGGTAACGGCATAAATGCGTACATACATCGAAGAAATTGAACATTGAAATTTGCCATCGTCCTCCAGATAGACATTTGATCGACGTTGTATGAGCGTTGTTTGGTTGAACAAATTTGCAAAAGTTCATAGATTCAGTCATCAATATCTCTTTGCAACTAGCATATATATCTCTTCAATCAGTGGTGTCCGTATTGATAGTTGAACGTTGTAGGTATGTTCATTTTGTTACACAAGAACGAATTTAACTAGGAAATAATGCTCAAAGATCATCAAATTGTGGAAGATCTGTAAATGATTGCAGTTGACTTTTGTTGTAATATGAGCAGCAGTGTTGTTGAAGGATACCTCCAATAGTTCATGTCATATGGATGATGCTTTTTTTGTATTAATAGAAGCAGTGAAGTATTAAAGAGTAAACTACGTGTCGGTAAATTAATTCCATAACTCTGATTTACATCCGTAATAGTTGGTTAAGCAAGCGAATCAACCAATGATATTAAACAAAAACTACAATTCAAACACCTCTCCAATTTATTTCGTCGATCTGGCAGTATATTATTGGAATGTATTGCATTGAGATAGTGGTAATGATGCAAGGAATGCCTAAAAATTTGTCTGTCATGTCACATATTCAAAACAGGTATGTGGCAATAATACAGGTATGAAATGAATGCATGGTAGATAGACAGATTCCTAGGCACAACTCTAGATGATCAACAAAAGATCTTATCAACGCATCGGCAAGCAATAAACAAAGCGTTTCTTTACATTGCCTCATGCAGTTTTACCTGCTTTTCAACACTGTTGATAATGCATTTGTATAAGAACTGAATGCAAGAGTTGATCGAGTCTTGACCATATTTATTAGATTCAAAAAACCTTTTCGTGATCATTAGAATTTGGACTGTATGATTATGCTGTTGATTTCCTTATGAACTTAATCAAAGTTCATCATCAGATTATCGCTTCTGGCTCATCATCACCATCACTGTCATCATTTTATAAGACATTGAGCAAAGCATTTCAATTTTCGACGATTCTTTTTGCCGAACTAAATGCTGTATCAATTCATGAGTTATGCATTGCTATTTCGAACAACTTTCATTGTTTCCTCTCATGTGAACTGTTCTTTTTTAATACACTGAGAAATTACAAGCGAAACAATCCAACGAAATTCAAAGATTGTTCCAACATCTCAAATTATTTTCAGTTTTCAGTGAATCATAATCATGCATGTTGTCTGCCACTGTAAAGAGTTTGCATTCAACGAGTTGAGTGTTCGAATCTTTTTCAACAATTTAAATGGAATGACTCCAAAATGATTATTTCTTTTTCAGCTGCATCAATCAATGCTTCCCCATTTGTGTTTCTACCCCTCTTTGTCATTCTTCACAATGTTCGAATTCATCTTATTTTCAATTATTTTCAAATCACCTCACAATTTCCGAGCACATCTAATGAAGTCCCGTCAAATATTCACTGCAAATAACAACTGCTCTACATTCATTCGTTTATGTTCGTTTGTTATTCACAAATGCTATTTTAATGCTGAAATTATTCATCACAAATTTGTTCAATGCCCAAGTTATGAATTTTTTAGTGCTAAAATGCATGATTTTTTGGTCACTTGCACACAGTTAGTATCGAATACTTATTCTACCTCATAGCACAAATCATTTTAAATAATTTTGGTTCAAAGTTTTGCTGAATACATTCCTTCCAACGAAGTCGATGGCATAATTCTGTGTTCCATATCGACTTTAAAAACTTGTCTATAAAATGCGAATTGAGGATAGGACACACATATGTTCCAATTCAGATATTTCTCATCTGCGGACAAAGAATCTCGAGCACGTTGCGAGGATGAATGTGAAGAAGTTTATTATACGTTCTTCACCTATGGAGCGTGTGTTGACGATATCTTTGGTCGTTTCAACAGGGACTCACAACCCGAATGCAATATGCGGTACGTTACAATACTTTCACTGATCAGTTTCTATCTATGCAAACCATTCAACTCTATCAGTTTCGGCATTTCGCCGCTTCAAATGCAAACATATTATGTGATATATGAGTTGCTGAATAGCCAAGCCTTTCGAACAACATTCTTCCGATTACCATTAATTTAAATGAATTGATTTACATTGAGTGCATGAGAAAAATTTACATCGAAGCTGTTCCATGTATGTCGAAGAAATCATAAAGTTTAATTGAAAACGAACAATTTTCATGGAAGAATTGATTTATAGTTGTTGTAAAATTCTCTTGCGCTATTTCCAAATATTACAACAATTTCTAGGAGAACTATGACTGAAGATTCAGTTTTTATTCAGATGATGGGCGATAGATTGCTGACAATTTAGTCATAAATTATCATTGATTGCGAACGAATAATCGTTTTATTGAAGTTTCAAAGTCGAAGTATGTATTGCATCGAAATATACATTTGTCTAAAGGATAAGATATGTATATGTGGATAGGTTTGTGCCGTAACACTACAGTAGCAACATTATCGTCATTGCCTTGTCGACTGTCAGCCGCAATTTGCGTATCTAGTTCAGTCTCATACCAGTCGGTGTTGCCATTTTTCAAGGTCAAACCTTATCACGCATTATTTACACTATAACAGTTCATCAGTCCATATTTATCCTCATATTATCTATCTATATA